CACGTGTCGAGATAGTTTTACTTACGGCAACCGGGAGCTGCAGTCGCTGGGACATTGACGTTGCGACTGCAAGACTTGGTTGGAAATGTGGAGAGGTGGAGGAGGGAGGAGGAGCAGGAGGAGGAGGAGCAGGAGGAGGAGGAGGAGAGGAAGGTTGCGGCGGGAGACTGTTGGCTGCTTTTAACGAACGCTCGTTAAAAGCGAGCAGCATTTGCAGTAGCTTTTTTTTTTACTGTAGTTGCTGCTGCGGCTGCGACTGCGGCTGTCGTAGGAAGTCGTCAAAAAGTGTCGTTCGACATCGTTCCAAGTCGTCCAATATTCTATGGTTGATTCCACACAGGTCTCACTAGTTAACTTCGCTTCACTGATGCGCTTTTTTCAATTTGTCACGTACGCTAGATTTTCACTTCGATATTCCCTTTGCTTGCTCATTGCAACAACAACAACAACAGGACGGGGAGAGGGGGGGCGGGGTGCAGCGGCAAGCACTTAATAACGAATTAGTATTTATGATATTCATAGAATTATATACGTTTGTCCCGCTAATCTATATGTATATAAAAATCGGCTCGCATGCGCCGCGTCTATCTAATTATGCAAGATTTTCCAGGGTCTTAGCCAACATTTTCTAGGCCAATATTGTGTATAGTATATTATATATTCGAGCAATATGATGTAATGTTGACTAAATTATGACGTTCGGCCACAAACGTGCGCTGGACACATTTATCATGGCTGGCCGGAATCCGTGCCCCGTGCCCCCGGCCAAAAGCAATAATAACTTTATGTCTTTGACTCGGCAACACGGTCACACGAGGGTCCGGCTGGAGTCCGGCTCGAGTCCGGCTAGTCCTTGACTTGGCTATGATAGAAAATTGTGTCACGACAGGAAGCGAGATAAGAGCGTAATTTTCTTTCAGCGGCAGCCGAGCACCACCGCGAGCCACCCCACCTGGTGGCAACCCACCTGGTGGTGGCCTCTTTTTGCCCCGGATGTCGACTATCGTGGTTACCGTTAGTCATTTTCAGTGATTGTTCAAGCGACGAAGCAGCCCACGACGTTCACTTGACTTTTAATGATTGTCACGCTCCCTATCCAACCCCTGATCCCTGACCCCTGACCCCGCCTCCCGTCCTCCGCCCACCTTAAGAGACAGGCACCTTGCAACTGTGCCTAATTTGCATTTATATTCATAATCTTGGGCATTGCGTCATGTAATATCGCATGTCCCGAACTTGTGACACTTTAATTGCTCGCGCCGGATCACATCCAGGTACAGTGAACACCCAAGCCGAGTGCACACATTCAGCTGGCCCCAGTTTGCATTTGCATTTTGCATTTTGCATAAATCGTCGGACTCATTAGCGTTGTCTATATGGGCCCCCCCTATATGGTTTTATGTGGGGCTCTTTCTTGTCTCTGTTCCATTTGCTGACTACGTGACTTTTGCGCATTTTGGCGCTTTTCATGTCTGCAGATCGATTTTCAGGCGATCCTCGGCCACAGCTAAACAGATACAGATCTTAAACTGAGATCAACTGCGAGTAGGGGGTTAGAGGGAATGGAAGGCTTGATGTATGGCAGAGATGGACGCGTCTCGTACGTTTTTGGCACGCGGAGACGTCCATAAGAATACTCGATTTTCCACCCAGGCGGGCGGATTTGTCGAAAAGAGCGAAACATACAATTAGAGTGAAAAGTATAAAAAAAGGCTTCACGTAACAGTTTTACGCTCATTTTCCACCCATGGAAGTGGAAACTTATGAAAAATGTTAAATTTTTTTTTACAAATTACAAAACTTTCTTCAGACTTGCGGATGCAATTTTTCGAATACCACTGAGTAAAATTTAGATTCCTAGCTCTTACGCTTTAGGCTGTGCGCTGATCATCAATCAGTCAGTCAATCAGTCGGGAAAAACAGATTGAAATATATATACATAAATTGTATATATTTATCTAATTAATTGCAATTTAAATCTTTATACAAATTTTAACTACCTTTATATGCACAGTTAGCACTAAGCGCTAAGCATCAATCAGTTAGACAGTCAGTCAATCAGGCAGAAGAAAAGAGATGTCTATAAATATATGCATATACAGGGACTATCTTCTGTTGTTACGATAATATTTCAATCGGAAGATGACTCTTCTCGACCTTAACATATACAATTTCGACTGTGCATTGAGGATCAATCAATCAGTCAGTCAATCAGTCAGGATAAACAGATTGAAATATATGAATTTTGTTTTTGTTTCTTTAATTGCAATTTCCTTATAAGCATAACTTTTAGCTGCTTGAATATTTGTAGCTTTATATAGATCAAATAATTATTTTACACATTCACGCCGTGTTGATCTCTGAACGTGCTCGTGTCACGACAGAAAACACGACATGCGCTCAGCTCTAGTGTGAAGTTTTTAAGCAATTGCCGTACTGCTGACCAAACAGAACTAAGTTAAGTTGTTAAGTTGCTGTTGGTGTTGCTGTTGTTGTTGGCCGCCAGATAAATGTCTAAAAATACAAACAAAGATACTCGAGATCATACAATGTGGGCTCGGGTTGCCTTTTCGGTCTGCCAGCTATCTGGCCGTGTCAGACCTTCTTCAGAACTGCGCCATTATCGGCTCGAGCATAATTGAATTTTCAGCATTTATCTCCGGCATTTATGTGCACTCTATGCTAGCACAACTCTATACCCTATGCGCCAGTTTATATATGAGGGAGTTAGGGTATTTTATAGCCAGTGCCCCAACCAACCGCCCCGCCCCACCCCGCACCGGCCAACCTTTAGCCAGTTAAGCACTTTGAGCTATAGCCAAGCGTAAAGAGATGTAAAGACATGCTCGAGTGTGCCACTCGATGCCTGGGCAGGTGAAGCCAGTAGCTGGCTTTGGCTAAGAGGCATGGGTAATGGGTAATGTGGAGTTGCGGGTTAATGGGTGCAGGTAGGGGGGGGGGGGGGGTATGGGGGAGGAGGTGGCTGCGTTGCCACAAAATGCCAAACAAGCGTAAACTGCCATTTTGCCATTTCAAGTCGCAAGCATTTCAAGCACAACAACACTAGCTGCAAATACATATACAACACAAGAGCACATTGCCAGATACCCTGCAAAAAATTATGAACGCAGCTTATGGACTGTTTTAGGATCAAACTAAGCAAATTTTTGTTCGTGAGCTGATTTTTGAAGTGTTTCAATTGACAGCTGTCGAAAAAGTGTGTTGTTTAAATAATATTATAAAATAAAACTGATTTTCGTCTGTTTATACAAAAATGTAAAATTATCTAAGAGTTTGTTTATGTTTATCAAAAATACAATCTAGAAAAAACAGCACATTAATTTTTAAAATTGTTACAAGTCAAGTGATCAAATTAAATCAATTGATTAACAATTAAATGCAATATATTTTCCTTAATATAATATTTGTTTTAAAAAATTAAGAAATTATAATATACTCGAGATAAGCTTCATGTTATTTTTTGGGAATATTATACACAAAACTAAACATAAATAAATAATTTTTTCTAATATATATTTTAGCTGTCAATAGTTAAACATACATGAAAAAAACTCAAGTATATTTATATTAAAAGGTCGCCCAACATCAACGGGCACACTCATAGACCGCAAACCAATATGCCTGCAGCACTTTGACACCATTTACAGGGTATTTTAAATTAAAACTGAAATTGTATGTGAAAATAAAGTATTTCATTATGCTCATAATTTTATTGTATGCATCAGCGGGAGCAGCGCGCATTTGCACGCATTTTAGTCGCATTCGCTGGCTGCTTAAAGTGCCACACCCACAATCCTACCCCAGCCCCCTTCCCCACCCCTTCCACTTAATACACGCATCCCCTGGCCAAGCCAGGCAGCCATTCAATGATAGACCGTTAGCTGCTCGCCAGTTGCACGCCGTTTTTCGGATTGCCCGCAAAAACTGGCTCTGTTGAAATTTATTAGTTCTGGTTGGCGAAGCCCGCACAAAAAATGTACGTAAACAATGGCCAAAAGGACATTTTCAAATGGGCTACACGCTTAGATTTGGCAGCTCCTCAACGAACTATCCTAGCGCAAAATTTGCTTTCTTGCCAAGCTAATTAGCTTGCGGCAATTAACCCGCAAATTAAATAAGAGCTACGAGTGCAAAAGTCGAGAGAGTGCTCAAAATTAAAATATTATATATTATATAATTATATACATTTACCTTTTCGTATGTATTAATATTGAGTGAATATTGAAAATGTTTGCTTTTTTGAACCGGCGATTTCTCTTTTGCTGGTTCGAACTGCAGACATCTAGGCACCCGCAGGTGAACAAAACCAACTAAAATAAATGAACACAAAAGTTGAAAAATTTCTGCTGGATTTGAACCGGCAATCTCTCGCTGGCTAGTTCTACGTGCAGACAACTAGGCCACGAGGATGCACAATATCAACTGCAATAAATACACACAAAAATGAGCATTTAAAATTGTTTGCTGGGTTTGAGCCGGCGATTTCTCTGTTGCTGGTTCGACGTGGAGACACTAAGACACCCGCAGGTGCATAATAACAACTGCAATAGATACATGCACAAATTGAAAAATTTCTTCTGGATTTGAACCGGCGATCTCCCACTGACTAGTTCGAGATGCAGATACCTAGGCCTGGTAGGAAGCTGGACATATATCATATGCCGAGCGAGTGGATAAAATATTCTCAAGTACTTCTCAATTTTTCGTTTTCGATTATACCTATATAATTCCTATAGGTATAGCCTATATAACAGATAGAAATTACAGCAGGGGGAATAATAGGTTTATATAATCGACACACTTGGGGAAAAGTTAGCCCTGTTGTGAGTTTAGGTTAGGCTTAAAGAAATTTTGGATATTTCTGATTGGATACCGTGGTACTAGATTAAAATAAAACTTTCGTTTGGAATAAGTTGACATTCCTTCAATTCGAATTTCTTATTGCAATCGAATCACAACTTTGAAATAAAATTCTATGATATGTTCGACATTAATTGTAGAGACATTTTGGCAGATGTGAAAATTCATTTATTGCGCCGAATTTGATTTAGAAAATATAAATTTCTAGTAATTTTTATATTCCGAAAAATGTTTAAACCAAATTTTCTATTTATAATGGCGATTATTTGTCTGATTGGCGTAAGTTGCACTGAGATCCCGACTTCAAATTCGCCCTGATCCCGCCACATTGCAGCTAGAGAATGCTCGCGCATCGCCACTAAAAAATAATACGGCAGCCAGCCCGGAAGATGAGACTACGGCGGCACCTCGGCTGGACGACGAATATGATGATGAAGAAGAAGAAACTAAAGGAACAGCTAATAATAAGAAAACAACAACGGTAACAGATGATAATGATAAAAAAGAGACTACGGCTGCGACGACTATTCAAAACGGGAAGAAGACAACGGCAAAAGTTAACGAGACTGTGGCCAAAGCCGACATTAAGGCTCCGACCGCTCCGACTCTCATGCAATTATTTCCGCAAAAAGCTGCGGCAACAAGAAGCAAGCAAGATCATCAAGATAAATTGAAGCCAAAAACTGTGATCAAGAATCCAATTTTAAGCGATGATGGTGATGAAGACGCTGGAGCAGAAGGCGCAGCTGAAGCAGAAGGCGCAGCTGGAGCAGAAGGCGCAGCGGGAGCAGAGGGCGCAGCTGGAGCAGCGGGCGCAGCGGGAGCAGAGGGCGCAGCTGGAGCAGCGGGCGCAGCGGGAGCCGAGAGCGCAGCTGGAGCCGCTGCAGGGAATGGGACAGCCGGAGCAGCCGGAGCAGCCGGAGCAGCCGGAGCAGCTGGAGCAGCCGGAGCAGCTGGAGCTGCAGGAGCAGCTGGAGGAGCCGGCGGCGCCAAGGGCGACAAGGGCGCGACTGCCGGCGGACCTCCCAAGTTTGGCAGGGACCATGCGGGCAACTGGGTGTACAACCTATGGGGCGCTACCCTTGGCAAAATCGGGCAAGATAGGCGCTATCCCCAATGGACCATAGACCGCCAAAAGGTTGACTCGAACGCACTCAAAACATACTATCCCGAGTGCGTATAATTACATTTTCAGTAATTGGAATTCTAGTTCGAATACCAAAGTATTCCAATTAGATTAGGTTCGAATAATTCTTTCAGTAGTTCTTTTTCTCACCAGTCTTCAGTAACTTCGGTCTTCATAGTCCGATCTTTGTGAAACTTTCAGGGCTTACATATATCAGAAGGAAGTGCGTGGTATACCAAAGCTCAAGGCTCTAGCTTGGCAAATCATATTTAAATTTCTGGGTAAACAAAAATATTTTTCTTGTTTATTCAGGTCTCATTTTCCGTTGTCCAGTCTTCAGTGACTTCGGTCTTCATAGTCCGATCTTTGTGATACTTTCAGAGCTTACATATATCGAAGAAAAGTGTGCATATACCAAAGAGCAAGGCTCTAGCTCTCTAGGAAATGGGGTTGTCCCGAAAGTGAAATATTTTATCGATTTTTATCAATATGCGAATTTATCGATATTCATCGATATTTGTAATTAACCATAATTAGATTGGTTATTCTTTCGATAACAGTAAGCAATCGATAACTTTTCTTTACTCGCAACAGTGGACAACTATCGAGCGTTTGCATGGACGCTTCCACAATCTACAATGTGCCCCCTATTAAAACTTGGGTTATACGAAACGTCTATAATCATGAGATCACAAGCCGGCCCATCTGGAACGAGCTGAGGCGTCACATCTACACGAAGGGCAACTCCGACGAGTGCCACGTCCCGAAATATGACAATTGGAGGGAATACCTGGAGTGCGCAATCAGGCGCAACATGCGCCTGGAGCACATAATACCCATGTATCCCATGCATCAAATGCGAAACTAGATCGTCCGGAGATGGCCTGAGCAAACCCATTTACAGTTTTCTCTGCCATTCTAAAAGTTGTTTTTTTTTTTTTCACTGCGATGTTTTTGTTTATATAATTTGGAATTTTTTTGAGTAAAATTTTGTTAAAATTATATATATTACCCGCAAACTTTGCTTGTTTGATCGAAGGGGGAGCTAAGGCAAAATAGAGGGCGCTGGTTCAAATCCTAGGCAAATATATGAATGTTTCAGACAGCAGATAGATGGATATAGATTAGATGTGCTCGAAAGGTTGCGAAGATGCACGCCTAGCAGATACCCTGTATCCGGCTATAATACAAGGGCGAAGGGTTATCCAAAATAGAGGGCACTGGTTCAAATCCTAGGCAAAGGCGAAAGGTTACGAAGATGCACGACTAGCAGATACCCTGTATCCGACTAATACTGATCTATAAAATAACTCTAGCTCATGTAATCCTCGTTATAAAAATAAAGCTAACAATCGATAGTTATTGATTGCGGCTGATCTGGGGAAAATTATGAGTAACAACATGGCAAAGTTGGGCGCTTTTGATACCTGTAGTCTCTAAGCTACCTTTTCTAAGGGATACAGGGTATAACTGGAAAAGTTTTCAGCATACGTTCTCTTTTTCTTGAAAACAACAAATTTGACTAATTTGAATTTGAATTTGATTGAAAAATCAATGAACTATGATCGGAAATCGTTCGTTTCAGTTTATATTGAAGCGGAAAACTTGCGTTGGGTTTAATTCAGTAAGTACAAATTTCGTGTCAGATGTATTTTTGAAATGTTGAGATTAAATTTTGGTTTGTTTATCTTGGCGATTGCCAGCCAAAGTGCCGTAAGTGTCAACCGCAAAGAATCTCTGTTGCAGGAAACACAAGCGGCAAATTTGAGTGCAACAAGTCAGAGTCCGGATGATCTATTAGCCGCGGCCAACAATCAGAGCTGGGGCATGCAGCTATTTGCACCGAAGGCGTTTTTACGACCACGACTAACCACAAAGTTTGTGCAGCTTTTCGCACAGCACGTTGGCGGGGCAGAGACGACGAAAGGGGGCGGCTATGCGGCAAAGAAGGCGGAAGGTGTCGACGCCAGAAAAGGCAGCAATGCAACAGAGAAGGCAACAGACAAGGCGCCAGTTGGCAATGCAACAGAGAAGGCGAGAGCAGGGAAACCGGGAGGCGCCGATGCGGCTGCAAAGGCGGCCGGAAGGGCGGGAGGAGGAGGAGGAGGCGGCCGCGCGGCAGATAAACTGGAAGTGGTCCGTGCCCGAGCTGGCGGTAGCTACCAAACCAACAAGCTGTGGGGCGAGGTGACCGTCTCGATGCCGAGGTTCAGACAGAACGAAAAGGGCGACTGGGTGTACCATTATTGGGGCGCTACCTATGGCAAAGTCTGGCAAGATACGCGCTTCGGCATCCACAGAGCTCGCACAATTCAACGGCTGCGGATCGACTCGTTGGCAATGCGCGAATATTATCCCGAGTGAGTAGAAGCCCATTTCAGCACAGATTGCGTACATAAAAAGAGCGAAAGCCATCTTTGGCAAGCCGAAGATAAGATACCCTTTTAGGTATATATATGCATGCCTTTCATGCTTGCAGAAATGTTAGGAAAATAGGCCGATTCTTCATTTGAATCTATATGATATAGCGGTAAGGAGATAAGTATAGCTCGTAAACAAAGATATACTGACAAACGGTTGAGTTTGTCATATAAAACAGGCCGATTCTTCATTTGAATCTATATGATATAGCGGTCCGATTTTAGTCAGATTTAGCTTATATGCCAAAAGTTGTTTTTCAAACAAGAACTTAATCCTTGACCGATTTTTCCTTTTAATATAGTATAAGAATATGATAAGAATTTGTATATACATCAAGGAGCATACCAAAACTAATAATTACCGAGTTTCGTGGTTTTTTTTGCCTGATTTTCCTATGGCAGCTATATGATATAGTGTTGTGATTTAATCGATTCCGACATGTCCACTGTCTGCATTAGAAAGACGAGGCTATGCAAAGTATCTTGGCGATAGCCTTAAAATTGAAACAGGATTTCAATGCCCAATTTTTATCGATTACTTGGAAACGGGGCATGTTTCGATTATCGAAAAGCAAACTCGCACTGGGAGGGCATTTGCAGGACCTAAGTTCAACATGTCAAGCCTCTAGTTCTTCTAGGCTATGAGATCGAATCGTTCATTGCATATGGACAGACATATAGATAAACAGACAGATAAACAGACAGATAGACATGTGTTTATCGACTCGACCTATTATGCAGATCAAGAATAAACAATTTATAGTAATATTATGGGGTCGGATCCTTCCGCCTGTTACATACATTTACCAGCAGTTTTAAGAAGTACAGGGTATAAAAATGTTTTGCTAATGCCAATTTCTTTCCGTTTCCACAACAGTGGCACGCTCGCTGAGGTGTGTTTGGGCAGGACAACAATATATAATAGGCCGCAGGTGACAAATTATCTGATCAGGCGACATTATTGGTTCGGAATAAAACATAGGCCAATCTGGGAGGCCCTCAGAAGGCAGATTCACACTCAAGGCAATGCCGAGGAGTGTCACGTTAAGGACAAGTATCCAAAGTTCAGAGAATTTCAGGAGTGCCAAATTAGGCGGCACATGCGATTGGAATATTTGATACCGAAATATCCATTACACCAGCGCGATCATCGATGATTGCCGTCGAGTTGTGGTTCATGGTGTCCTGCGACTAAACGGATGCTCAATGAAGCTCAAATCCTTGCGGCCGGGCGACCGGGCGACAAGAAATCAGTTGGACAGTTCCGGGCCTCCAGCCAGCGCGAGCAGGCCGAAGGATACTAATTTTATCCGGGACAAACATAACGACTACCTCCAGTTGTCCCCCCGCCCACCGTCCAGGCCAGACCCAGACCCAGACCCAGCCCCAGCCCCTCACAACTTTCGATTCGTGTCCTGGCTGCGATTGTGCGCATTATATAACACATACATATACGTACGTACATATTGCAGAGGAGGAGGGAGTCGGAAAGAAGGATGGGGGTGGGATGGGATTGCCTGAGAAATGTATAATTTATGTTGTTTTAAATCAAAGAACGTTATGTCCAGACAAACAAGCAATGCCCTGGAAAGCGGCAAGAGGAATGTCTGAAACGGGTATAACTGAGTGCAAGATGCTCGACTAGCAGACACCCTGTGCATACGTACTCAGATGTTTATAAATAATTGTTTGTATTAACAATAACATAACGCATAAAACCTTTGAATACCCAAAACTAACCCTTTCCATTTTTACATATCAATATATATAGATTTTAAGATTTGGTTCCTTTTAGCATAACTCGAGAATTATAGGAGCTTTTTACGTGAAACTTGGGATGAAGGTTCTAGTTAGGTGTACCAAAATTAAGATTAATTCATTTTTTGAACACCTTGCCTCGTTCTCCCTGCACCCCCTAAAATTGCAAGAGATCTCTTTTTTAAAGGCAAGAGTCTCGAGCTAAGTTATATAAGCACTTGGATATGACATATTTAAGCGCTCAAAACTTGAAAAAGATCGGACTATAAGCACCGAAGTTAATCAGGAACGTATTTCCCAGTGTCTACGTTTAAGTGAAGAAGAAGCATAAAGTGCAGTTGGACGTTCCGTGCAGGGTATTCCCTTTTCATTGTTACATACCTTGGCACAAGTTTATGCTACCCTTTGCTCAATTATTTTGACACTACAGGGTATACAAACATTTCCCAAGACACATGTATGTGCGCAGATACAACAGCAGAGAGTCTGTATGTGTTTGAGTTTGTGGTTTCCCTAGATTACAAGCACAATTGAATGGGTGTATGGGTGTGTGTGTGAGTGTGCGAGTGTGTGAGTGTGCGAGTGTGTGGCAACGCCCACCACATGCCACGCACATCAGCCAACCATCGTCCGCCCCTAACGAGCATCGAGCATGTGTGTAGAAGTCCTTGCAGCTCCTTAGAGCTGGGCTGCTACTGCTTCTGCTGCTGCTTCTGCTTCTGGTTATGCCTGAGCTGGCCGCTGGCTCGGTTCGAGTCGAGTCGAATGCGAAACGATTTAATTTGTTTCGGAGGTAATGTGGCATATGCTCGCCCTCGGCCTGGGAGTTGCCACACAGATTGAGTGTTAAACATGAACAGAGAGACTCGTCAAAAGTCAAAAGGAAAAATAGCAAAAACACAACCTCAACAAACTGAAAAGCCTTCAGAATTTATTACACAGCCCCCGATTTGCATATTTATGAATAATTTGTGGATATAAGCAGGATCTAACCAGGGCCCAACTTGACTTTTGTGTGGCGTGTCTTTTTATTTTTCCACTAGAAAAACCAGCGAAAAGCCAATGACAGGTGCGCGCACACAAAGCCCACTTGGCTTTTCCATTTCTATAACCTTTGCATGACCACACGGACATGGCTTGTGCTTGTGTGTGTGTGTGTGTGTGTGTGTGCGAAATTGATACTCCTTTACACACACATATACATATACACACAGTCACACACACACCGAGACACGTGCGCATAGTCGAGACATTGGTCACGAAAAGCGGAAATGCTGATAAGAAATTTCAATGTTTTGTTTCTCTTATAAACATTTTCTCTTTTTTTTATTTCGTTGTCGTGTTTAATGTCTTTTTGTCGTGCTTAGTGTCTTTAGTGCTGTGCGTGTGTCTGTGTGTGTCCGTGTGTCTGTGTGTGTGTGTGTCCATATAATCTTTATATACACACACATAAAATACTTAGTTGCTGACCAGCAGCTCCTTAAGCGTGAGACACGTCCTTCCAATAGAGCTCTGCGAAATACACTCATAATGGGTTATACGAGGGAGAGGGTAGCTAAGGAGAGGTAAGGGAAGGGGGGCGGGGCGGTGTTATGAGCATTGCATGTGATAGTTGCCAAGGCACTTCAGGCTACAAGCCATAAGCCCAACCAAAATCCTTAATCTATATGGGCTCTTAAGGATTTATGTGAACAAGAAAAAGTAGCTCATCGATCCAATTTTTCTCTTGATATATATGTAAATGCCTTTGATATATAATAAATGACATGATTTTCTTAATAAATTGCCAAAATAATCAAGCTAAAAATATTTGAAAACATTTTCTTTTAACTAATAATTTACAGAAAACAATAAAAAAAATAATTTCCTAAAATGTAGAAAATTGATATAAAAGAAATAATTAATACATTTCATAATTTAAGAAACTTTTCGTTACAAAAGTATTTTCCCATTGATATTCTTTGCGGATATACGACTTTCTTATACAACAAAATGTTGTAATATTTCTTATATTCGCTTATTTATCTTGGCACTTGTAAACATTTCCCCTTAACAGATATGAGAAAAGTGAGTTCGATAGGAATATCTTTAAATCAGAATATTTTGCCTACTTCTCGAGCGTTCTTTCCTATGGCAGCTATATGATATAGTGGCCCGATCTGGTTCCGATATATTTACTGCCTGCAATAGAAAGATGGAGCTATGCCAAGCTTCGAGACGATAGCTTTAAAAGTGAGAGACTAGTTCGCAGAGAAAAAGACAGACTCAACTCGACCGACTTGATGCTCATCTAGAATATATATTTTATGGGGTCGAAGATGTCTACTAATCAAAGATATATAAGACAGCTTATTATATAAATATCGGTAAAGGTAAGCAAAAATTAAATCAATAAATACATAAACACAGTAAATGAGTTTCAAGTAGAATATACAGATAACCCGGCCTTGCTCGTGCCTAGCTTCTTCCTTCGAATTTTAGATATTACTACTTCACACATTTTCCAGCCGTGGCAAACTTAAATCTACGCACAATATCCTAGAAAGCCACGCCTCAAATTAAATTTGACAAAGTTCAAAAATAAGCTTAAAGTCTATCAAGCAAAGAAAATCTTTAAAAACTAGTCATCAATCCGGACAAATCTTAAGAGATCAAAAATATTGATCGCACAGCAAACCAAATAAACAAAGGCAAGTACTAAATAAGATCCCACAACAACAGGAATTCATGGACGGAATATCTTGAGTTGACACCAATTTGTGTCAAACTCTTGAGTCATGAATCCAAGACTTACGATCTTTTTTATGGCGCTGCGTCCAAAACAAATCTTAATGGGCCAGCCATAAAATGCGCATAAAGCGGCGACACAATTCATAATTCGAATAGTTTCTCGATTTGGCGGCGCGAGTTCGAACCGGCGGGCGGCTCAAACGAGTGCAGTTCCTGTGCGGCCAGCTGAGCGGTAATCTTCAGACAGCGCAGCCACTTATCAAATTTCACACTCGATTTCCAGTGGAAGGCGTCGCGAAGTTTTCCATTTTCTCAAATTGGATGCACCGCAATCGCCGCGACGCATCGAATCTGTGCGACAGTCGCCCAGCTTGGGAATATATATTAATTTATGTGCTCATAACAATTAGGAAGAAGTCAAGTGCTAGCTGCGGTTTCTCTAAGGGGGGGAATGAGAATATTGGGAAAATATTGTACAAATTTTAAAAAACACCAAATTGTGACTACACTCAGAAAAATAAACAAGCTAAAATCGCCAAATTTGAAATCAAGGCGAAAAAAGTCTAGAAACAATTCATAAATTGTTCTTCAAATAAGTAAAAATGTTCGAAGCAAATATAGATATTTTCTTAAATTAAGAAAAATGTTCATTTTAAAAAGCAAAATTGTGACTACACTCAGAAAAAAACAAGCTAGAATCGCCAAATCTCAAATGGGACTCAAAGCGGAAATAAACGTAAGAAACAATTCATAAATAGTTCTTAAAATAAGTAAAAATGTGCGAAACAAATATAGATATTTTCTTAAATTAAGAAAAATGTTCATTTTAAAAAGCAAAATTGTGACTACACTCAGAAAAAAACAAGTTAAAATCGCCAAAAAAAAGTCAAGAAACAATACATCATTTTTTTTCTTAAAATTAAGTAAAACTTTCCGTAATAAATATAATTAAAATTTAAAAATATTTTCTTTTGAATGGTATTTTTCTTTGAGTGTATATAGACATTGGGGACACTTGAGGGCGAACCTCCTCAAGCGAGCACGAGGCTCGAACCCTTAGCCGAGCCGCTGTCACGCTGATGATTATCTCATATAGAAATTCACAGGCCTCTCGAGAGAGTTTTGAGGCAAGCACGTGACTTGTGTATACACACACACACACACACACACACACACACACTCGTACGCTCGTTTAGAGTCTAAAGAGACGCCGTAATTCAATTTGCTGTTGTGTACCGCGGGCATGTTTAATTTCATTTGCAGCGTATTTAAGCTAAAACCAAACTCAACCATACCAAAGCAAGCAACACAATGAGCCGGGCTGCTTTCGGGTGGTTCAGTTGGTTCGGGTTATTGGGCTGTGGTCACGCAGGGGGGTGGCGTGGGGGAAGGGGGGTGAGTGTGCGCGCAAAATGTTCAATTTAAAAATTTATGCAATTATGAGCCGCAAATATTATTATATAAACACAAGCACAAATACGACATGGAAAAGGGCACGACCTGACCGGGCGGCAAATGAGCAGCGGCCGAGCAAAAGGTAACGAGTAACAAGCAACGAGTAATGCGTAGCGAGTGACATGAGAGAACGAGCGAGCAGCCAATCAGCATTTCAGGTGACAGCATATTGATGGAGAATATTACATGAGATAGCCTCAACGCTTGGTAAAAGGAAAAAATCAGATCGAGCAGCAAATGATCAAAGAGTGGCGAGTGTCAAGTAACGAGTAGCAAATTGCGAACGAGTGGTA